AAAAGAAAAATCAGACCATGCTCCGCATAGGCAGCTGTCGGGCCCGACACAGCGCCCCCCTTATGGCCTCCCCCGGGCCCGCGCCGCGTCCCCGCTCCCCCCGCGCCGATCTTATCGCCCGAAGACAGCCATCACCGCGCGGGCGGGCTGACAGCTGAAGCCAAAGGGCCTCCGCTGCCTTCAGCGTCGCAGAGAGAGCGCTCCATGGCACCCCCGAGACTGGGAGAAACCAGCCCTCCCTAGTCTGCATCCTCCGGGGATCGCGCCGAGTTCCGGGAAAGCAGCTGCGCTGCTGCGGCTTGGAGGAGTGGGGCCTCCTGGGGGAGCCGCGCGGGCGAGACGGGTGAAGCCGCCTGAAACTCAAACAAGTCCGCGCTCTTCCAGTTCCATCCCACATCCCTCCGGATGAGGAGAGGATCTGGGCCTGCCCGACCTCAGCCTCTCACCCTGACCCTCCAGTGGCCTGAGCCAACTATGGAGCTAGGAGAGTTCCTCCCTGCCCCATCCGAGCGACAGGACGCGGGGAGTGCTAGGGGCTGCTGGGGTGGGGGGAGATGATGGGCGCTGAAACTGAAGCGGGACCCAGGTGAGGGGAGGCGCAGAAGGCGGGGCCGGCACTTCATTACCATACAGCTGAGGACGCGTACCCCTCCCCCACTTCGGGGGCCACGCGCAAGGGGGCTGGCACGCGCCTACCCTAGGCTGGCCAGAAGGAAGAAGGCACGCGTTGGGCACGCCCCCCGCAGTTAGGGAGGGAGACACCCACCAGGTGGAGGGAGGCAGCACCGAATCTAAAAGCTTGGCTCCCGGCCTTGGCCGAAGTGGCCACTGAGAGGTTAACGCGTCCGCGGGCTTTCATGCTGCGCCGAGGATGCGTAGCGGGTGGGAGCTCACAGGTGGCAGGCCTCCGAGGCGTGAATTACCGAAGCTCCGGGAACTGAAGGAGACTAAAGACTTAAGAGTCTTTTAGCGCCTGTTTCGCTTTCCAGGGTTAAGTTCTTTTTACCTGAGGGAGGGCTGCAGGTAACAAGTGCACGCTGAGGACGCACCGCCTACGGGGACTCCCCAGTGTCTCCGCCCCCATGACCATCCGGGAACCCCCGCTCACACACACACACACACACACACACACACACACACCCCTCGCATTATGCCCCTCAGGGTCTCCACCAACAACCAGAAAATAGTAGAGGACTGGTAGCTTCGGCACGCGCAGAGCTGGGAGGGGCGGGGACTGGCTAGCCGGGAGGGAGTGACAGCCAGGGCAGAGGCCCCCTCCGGGCGGCGCTGGGCTGTAGCGCTAGAGGCCGGGAGGGGAGGGGAGACTGACCAGGAGTCTGAGTGACAGGCGGCGAGGAGTGGAGCCAATATATATAAGGAAGGCTCTCGAGCGCGCAGGTTTCAGTAGCGGCGCTGCGCGCAAGCCGGGAACACGAAACCGAGAGCCGCAGCCCAAGCCATCTCAGTGCAGTGTAGTCGGGGCACTAACCCGCTTGCAGCCCCAGGATTAGTAGGAGGACAAGTCTTTAGCGCGGCCGCCGCCCAGCCGCCCTCACCTGGATTACTCACCGCGGCAGCTAGAGCCCAGCTAGCGAGAAGGCGCGGGCCGGAGGTGCAGCGTCCAAGCAGAACCCGGCTTTTCAGAGACCCCTGCCGCTGGCGGACGCGCGGGAAAGCGGCATTTGGAGCAGAGCTGGCTGGAGGGCCCGCGGGTGGAGAGAGCGAAGCCCCTGGGGATGGCGGCCGCGACCTGGAGCGCCTCTGGATGGGCTCTACTGCTGCTGGTGGCACTTTGGCAGCAGGTAACGTCCCGCCCTCCCTCCCATCGCGCCCGGAGCCTGAGCCCCAGGCACCCACCCAGCTGACCCTCCCCTCTCTCCTCCCCCCTCCCACCTTGCCCTTGTGCCACAGCTCGCGGCCGGCTCCGGCATCTTCCAGCTGCAGCTGCAGGAGTTCGCCAATGAGCAAGGCGTCCTAGCCAGCGGGCGATCGTGCGAGCCCCGCTGCCGGACCTTCTTCCGCGTCTGCCTGAAGCACTTCCAGGCGGTGGTCTCGCCGGGGCCCTGCACTTTCGGCAGCGTCTCCACGCCAGTGTTGGGCACCAACTCATTCGCCGTCGGGGACGACAGTAGCGGAGGGGGCCGAAATCCTCTCCAGCTACCTTTCAATTTCACCTGGCCGGTGAGCACATCCTGGGCGCACTGGGAAGTCACGGAAGCCGAGGGGAGGCGAGCCCTGGGACCAAAATCCCCACCCTAGATTTTTCTCGTTCTCTCCCAAACCCCCAAGTATCACTGTCTCCAGATCCTTTATTTTTCGACTCCCTTGGGCCATCCCCGAGAAGGGCCTCCCCATAGTCTCTCTTGTCCGTTTTACGCCCTCCCTTCTCCCAGGTCCTGGGACACGATTTTCATCACCCAGCACCCCAGCGCCCTCCTCTCTTCTCTCACCGAATGGCTCTCACATACACTTCCCTTCCTCAGGTTCCCCTCTTGTCTTCCCTGCTGGGGCGATGAACTGCTCTCAGACCCGTTATGTTGACCTGGGCGCAGTAACTGTATCCTGCAATTAGGTTAATTAAACCGGCTGCCACAGAGCAGCCCCCATCTCTCCCCCCTGCTCACCTTGCTGTATCTCCGCGTCTCCCCCCCACCTTCTCCTAGGGTACCTTCTCACTCATCATTGAAGCTTGGCACGCACCGGGAGACGACCTGCGGCCAGGTGAGTAGCTTGCTCAGATGCCACTTGGGGGCGACACGGCGCAGCGCCTAAAGAGTTAAACCTGTTAGAGGGGGGAAGTGCGGGGCTGGGGGTGGGGGGGTTGGACGTTTAACTCGCCAGGAGCTGCGCCCCGCGCTGGGCGCTCGGATTCCGCCCGCTGCCTGGACTTGAGCACAATTGCGTTTCCTGCGGGTTATTTTTGGCGTGGGAACGCGGGGAGCACAGCGGTGAGAATGGCCGAAAGCTGCCAGCGCCGCTGACGGGCCCCTTCCTGTATTTTACACCTTTCGCGAATTCCGCTCCTTTGGAAAGGGAATAATGGCTTTGGGATGTTGTTCTGACACAGAGGAAAAGGATATTTCAGCAGCACAACAATTCTCACTTTGAAAAGGAAAAAGAATACCATTACCCACCTCTGGGGGCAGAGCCGTTGGATGGTCACCAAAAGACCCCCAGCTTCCAGGGTCGTCCCCCAGCCTAGAGAGTCTTTCTACTTTTTTTTCTTCTTTTTTCATTTTGATCTATTTTCTCCTTCCCCTTACAATCATCCTCCCTAGCACTGGGATATCTTAACATCCTTTTGTCATCCCCTTTTTGAATGGTATCAGGTCCCCATGCACACGTGTGCACACACACACACACACATGCACACACACAGGGCAGCTAAGTAATGGGTTTCTTGGGCCTGGCCCTTGCCAGGAGGGGGTGTGTGTGTTCATCTGGACAACTGGTCTGATTTGGCAGCTGATTACCATCAGCCCAGCCACAGAGGGGCATTGGCCAGCAGTCATTGGCACCCTTTGGGACTAGCCACCCTTCCCTGACTGGCCCTCTGCCCCCTCAGAGGCCTTGCCAGCAGATGCGCTCATCAGCAAGATCACCATCCAGGGGTCCCTAACTGTGGGCGAGAACTGGTTACTGGATGAGCAGACCAGCCCCCTCACAAGGCTGCGCTATTCTTACCGGGTCATCTGCAGTGACAACTACTACGGGGATAGCTGCTCACGCCTGTGCAAGAAACGCAATGACCACTTCGGCCACTACGTGTGCCAGCCAGATGGCAGCTTGTCCTGCCTGCCCGGCTGGACTGGAAAATACTGCGATCAGCGTAAGAGGCCAAACTCATCATCTGCTTTGGGGGTGGGAGGCCCACCTGAGCAGAGTAACATCTTACGGGCTACAGCCTGCTCTGTCATAGAGCAGACCTGGGCTGCCCACTAGCTGGGCCTCAGGGACAGTTGGGGCTGGTTAGGATGGCCTTGGACTCGGAACTCCTCTCTCTTCCTGGTACTCCTCCCAATCATGCCAAAGCCCACAAGGACCTCGTGTTATTATATTTCATTGGGCCTTAATTCTCCTCACCTGTGCTGATGTTTCCCTTTAAGTTACCCATGGCTCCTCCAGTAGGCCAAGAATGGGAAAAGGAAGCCCAAGAGAGCTGGGCCACTCCCAAGGCTAGGAGGGAGAAACAGGGCTTCAGAATCCTTGGCATCTCACCTTCCCCAACACTGTTTTCTTTCTTTAGCTATCTGTCTTTCTGGTTGTCATGAGCAGAATGGCTACTGTAGCAAGCCAGCGGAGTGCCTGTGAGTAGGGGATCAGAGGTGGTGAGGGGAGAGCCCTCCTCTGGCCAGGCCTCTCACCTCACCCTTAGCTTCTCTTTTGTTTCTCAGCTGCCGCCCAGGCTGGCAGGGGCGCCTATGTGACGAATGTATCCCCCATAATGGCTGTCGCCATGGCACCTGCAGCAGCCCCTGGCAATGTACCTGTGATGAGGGATGGGGAGGCCTGTTCTGTGATCAAGGTGAGTCAGAGCAAAGAGAGGACTGCAGTACAGGTAAGGGAGATGGGGTCATGAGGCAGGAACCAGAGATGTCTTTGGACCCTTTTCTTGGTGGCTGCTGACTTGACTCTCCCATGTTCCTTCAGGAATCTTGGGGCTTTTAAGGTCTTTACAACTGGCCTCGAATGAGACTGTGAGTCCTTCTTCTCCAGGTGCTGGAGAGTGAGGGTGGCTGGAGGCGCCAGCAGGGTGACAATTGGGCAGCCTAGAGGTTGCCCTGGTAAATTCCAGCAAGGCCAAAGAGGGAGGGATGCCAGGTTCCCTTCCTCTTTCTATCTCCTACTACCTGGTAGTTACCTATTAACCCCCAAAGTGTTTGCTTACCTGCCGGGGCTGTTTGAGCAGCTCTCCCCTAAACAGCTGTCTGACGGGGTGTGCCCACTGGCTGCCTGCCTGAGGCTGCAGGTGAGCTGGGCCTCTGGGCAGAGTGACATCTAACCGCCTACTTGCTATGGGCACATACAGCCTCCCCTGTGGCTGCTCAGTTGCACTGGCCAGGTGGCTGCCTGAGCCCATACTGGCTCTTCCTGGTGATGGGGGAGGGCAGGGGTGCCTGGTCACTCTGGCTGTGCAGGGTGGAGAGCCATGACTGTGGGGGAGGGAGCCTTTGCCTGGGTAGGTAAGCAGCCTGGGGAGGGTGAGCAAGGACTTGCCAGGGTGGAAAGAATTTGCTTAAGGCTTGCTTGCTGTTTAAAGGGGGTTTGGGGTTTGGCCTCTGCATTGTGTGTCTGTGCCTTTACCTCCCCTACCACATCTGGCTCCCACCCATTCTCCTCTTCCACATCTGCACCCTGGTGACCCAGTCATACTCTTCATGTGCAAACATAGCTCTTGCAGTCCTGTATTCGCTCTTTCGGATTCTCCTTCCCTGTCCTTCCTAAATAGAAAACAAATACTTATATTTCAAATATTCTTGTTAACTCCTTCTTTAAAAAATGCCTGGTCGGGACCAGGTTTGCTGGCCTGATAAAGCCTGGTGGAACCACTGAGACTATGGCCCCTAGCTGCCCTTCAGGTCTGGAATTGAATCCATGCCTGTGGCTTCCAACCAAACAATAGACAGGCATATGAGTCAAACATTTATCTGAAGTAGATACACTCCTTGGAGAGAACAAGCGTGGGAGAAAGAAGGGCTGCTTATGCACAGGGAGACAGCTCAGGGGGCAGGAGTGCATGGAGGGATTGACACAGGGAAGAGGTAACTATCAGGAGGAAGTAGGAGAGGAGATGTTGCATTGTGGTAAATTGTGGTCAATGTCATGAGACAAAGTGTATGTGAACTGCTGTATGGAAAGTGTATTTGCTCTGTAAATTTTCACCCAAATCACAATTAAAAAAAAAAAAAAAGCCTGGTCACTTCCTAGGGTGCCCCTCCTTTCCCCTCAGAATTCTTTCTCTACCGTTTCCACCTTTTGAAACTGGTCTCTCTCCTCCTACACTTATCTGGGATGTCCATCTTCCATGCAGCCTTTTCTGATACCTTTCTTTCCTCCTCTGTGCATCAACAGTTCTTATGTTTATCTTTCCCTGGTTGGCAGCATTTGTGAGCTGACAGGGCAGGTAGTTACTACTTGTTTGGGTTTTTTTCAACCTTGATTGATCACTTACTGGTCAGATGTGGTTTGTGGTGCTTCCATGTACATTTCCTTGTGGAGGAGGAAGGGTATCTGGGCCTGGGAGACTTGGAGTTGAAACCTCGTTGGGCCAGGTATGGGGAGAACATGGTCTGCCCTGCTCAGCTGGCTGGTTTCTGTCTTGGCAGACCTCAACTACTGCACCCACCACTCCCCATGCAAGAATGGGGCGACGTGCTCCAACAGTGGGCAGCGGAGCTACACTTGCACCTGTCGCCCAGGCTACACTGGCGTGGACTGTGAGCTGAAGCTCAGCGAGTGTGACAGCAACCCCTGTCGCAATGGAGGCAGCTGTAAGGTGAGGCAGAGCTCTGGCTGGGTGATGCCCAGTGGATGTGTGACGATGGGTAGGCATTGTAGGCCTCAGCGTCTGACTTTGGCCCCCATTATGGTTTCTCTCCAGGACCAAGAAGATGGTTACCTTTGCCTATGTCCCCCTGGCTACTATGGCTCACATTGTGAACACAACACCTTGAGCTGCACTGACTCCCCTTGCTTCAATGGGGGGTCCTGCAGGGAGCGCAACCAGGGGGCCAGCTATGCCTGTGAATGCCCCCCTAATTTCACAGGCTCCAACTGTGAGAAGAAGGTGGACAGGTGTACCAGCAACCCATGTGCCAATGGTATGTCCTATTCCCTTGTTAACCTGGTAGACCAGCCCTGAGACTGAGAAAGCCTTCTGGTGAAGGAGGGTCACTCTGCAGGCTGCTATGGGTCCCCATCTGCTAAGGAGGGCTTTGGAAGAGGAACAGGTTAGCAGCAGGCTTTAGGACAGAGACCAGTGTTCACCCTACTTGGCTTCCATTTCTATTCTAGTGTCAGAGCCCTCACCTGGCTGGGGTGGTCTTTGACCCTCCCCAGGAAGTCCTGGGCTAGAGAGAGGGATGTTGAGGCTTTGTGTCCCTCCTCAAGGGAAGCTGTCAGTCAGAGCCCTGCTCCTGAAGGCCTCATCTTGTCTGTCCCACAGTCATGGGGCTCTCGGTGTGGCACAAAGCCATGTAGAATGTCCAGTACCTTTTGAGGCACAAAGCATATTGATACTCTTTGTGTGTTTGGCCTGATGCCACCCCTGAGGCAGGCCAGACAGCCCCAGATAGGAAAGACATCTCAGGTACTAGAGAGAGGTTGGAAGGGCAGGAAGAAGAAAGTGGACAGGAAGTCTCCTCTCTGACTAATTACTTAACTCCCTGGAGCCACAGTTTCTTCATCACTAAATGGGAAAATATAATACCTGCTCTTGGTATTTTATGTGGTTATGACAATTAAATAAAACCATAATAATTACGTGTATTTGGACATTTATTATGTAGCAAGTGTGTGTGCTCCTGCTCACATGGATATCCTACTTAACCTTCAGAGCAGTCCTATGAAGAGATGGTACTGTACTCCATCTGACTCAAGAAATGAGGAAACTGAGGCTTACAGATCTAATAAAGCTACGGGTGCCAGATGCTCAGCTAGAGAGAGTCAGAGCTGAGATTCAAACCAGCCCCATCTGTTAGATTCTACTTTAAACCTCTGTACGATGCTCAGGAGCTATGGTGGCATGGTGGTTAAAGCATTCGGCTGCTAACCAAAAGGTCAGCTGTTTGAACCCACCAGCTGTTCCACAGGAGAAAAATGAAGCAGTCCACTTCCATAAATATTTACAGCCTTGGAAACACTATGGGGCTGTTTTACTGTGTCCTAAAGTGTCACTATGGGTTGAAATTGATTCAATGGCAATGGGGTTGGCTTTTTGTTTTTTTCTTAAGATGCTAGTAGTTTTTACACCTGAGCCCACTGAAGTAGAGAAGCCAGATTCATGCAGTGGGCTCTGTAAATGCTGGCTATTCACATGGAGGCAGAAGCACAGGGACTTGCTCCTAGGATAGGGCACTCACCGCCTACAGTGAGGGTCCCAGGCTGTTGCTGACTTGTGCCTCCTCTCCCACAGGGGGCCAGTGCTTGACCCGAGGCCCAAACCGCCTGTGCCACTGCCGTCCTGGATTCACAGGCGCCTACTGTGAACTCCCTATCAGCAACTGTGCCCGCAGCCCTTGTGCCCATGGTGGCACTTGCCACGACCTGGAGAATGGGCTTGTGTGCACCTGCCCTCCTGGCTTCTCAGGCCGGCGCTGCGAGGTGCGGACACCCAGCGATGCCTGCGCCTCAGGGCCCTGCTTCAATGGGGCCACCTGCTACTCTGGCCTCTCCCCAGACAACTTCATCTGCAATTGCCCCTACGGCTTTTTGGGCAGCCGATGCGAGATCCCTGTGGATGTGCCACCCAGCTTCCCCTGGGTGGCTGTCTCTTTGGGTGTGGGCCTGGTGGTGGTGCTGGTGTTGCTGGGCATGGTGGCTGTGGCTGCGCGGCAGCTGCGGCTCCGGCGGCCGGATGATGACAGCAGGGAGGCCATGAACAACTTGTCGGACTTCCAGAAGGACAACCTGATCCCTGCCACCCAGCTCAAGAACACAAACCAGAAGAAGGAGCTGGAAGTGGACTGTGGCCTGGACAAGTCCAATTGTGGCAAGCAGCAGAACCATACATTGGACTATAATCTGGCCCCAGGACTCCTGGGGAGGGGAACCATGCCTGGGAAGTATACCCACAGTGACAAGAGCTTAGGGGAGAAGGCGCCACTGCGGTTACACAGGTAAGCGTGACCTTGAGGCCCAGGGCCTGGCCATGGACCCCAGTGTGGTTTTTTCTGGGTTTCTCCAAGGACAGGTGGGAGGCTGACACCAGGTGCTTGATGGCTTTTAAGCCAAGAGGGGGTTTTGTTATTGCCAGGGGTTCTTAGTTGTCCCCCTCCATTCATTCACCCATTCCTTCACAAAAGTCAAGTGTCCATAGTGTGGCTCTTGTGACTTTCATCTTTCCACAATGTGACTTGCCTCTAGTGGCAGTGCTGTCTTTTTCCGGGCCTACGGCCCTTTTGTTAAAGTTGGAGGTTCCATGCCTCTTAGAGTCCTGTTCCTAACTGTCCCTGCTGCCCGTGTCGTCCCCCAGAGCCTTCTCTGCAAGCGCCCTTGGCTCTTGGGGTCTGGGTTAATGCCCCAACCACCCATCCTTTTCTCCATCCCTCTCTCACCCACCTGTCTTGTGTTCTTTCCCTTAGTGAAAAGCCAGAGTGTCGGATATCAGCGATATGCTCCCCCAGGGATTCCATGTACCAGTCCGTGTGTTTGATATCAGAAGAGAGGAATGAATGTGTCATTGCCACGGAGGTGAGTGCTGGGCTCACCTTCCCTTTCAGCTTGTCTCCTCCAGTTTTTTGGGACTGTGAAACTGGCCTGGTTACTCCCAACCCAATGATGGGGTCCTAAGGGGTTGCTCTGGAAGGGTAGTCTCTCCTTGGCAGGTCAAGGACTCTCGGATCCCTGCTGGCCTCGTTGCCACAGAGGGTGTGAAACAGGAGCCGTGGTGGTAAACCTGGCCTGTCCTCTTCCTGCTGGGTTAATACTGTGCTGGGCCAGCCGTGGCACCTGGCCAGCTCTCAGGAGCTGCTTCCCAGCTGCTGGTGGATGCTGATGGGTTGCCTTGTGCCTCTCTTGCCCCTTGCCACTGGCTTCCTCCATTGGCCCACCTCACAGAGCATAGGCTCCCAAGCACATGCTTGTGTTGGGGCAGGAGACCAGCAAGGACTACCCCATCTCTCTTCTACCTTGCCTGCCCCATTGGCTTTTCCCAGGGAGGCCCTCAGGGCAGCCAGGGAGGGAGTGCCTGCACCCAGGGTAACCCGTTTCTCTACTCTCCACACATTCCCCAGGTATAAGGCAGGAGCCTAAGCAGGACATCCCAGCTACGGCCCAGCAGCTGGACCTTCCTTCTGCATTGTTTACATTGCATTCTGGATGGGACGTTTTTAATATGCAACGTGCTGCTCTCAGGAGGAGGAGGGAACGGCATGAACTGGATAGACTGTGAACTTGCCAAGAGATGCAACACCCTCCCACACCTTTGGGTGTCTGTCTGGCATCAGATTGGCAGCCACGCCAGCCAGGGGAACACAGGAGAAGAGAGGTGCCACTTGGACCTGCCCCGGCAGTGGTCTTCGTAGAGTTCCTCCTGGGGCTTTGACCTCTTTTCCAGAGGGAGTGGCAGTGGGCTTTTGGGGCCTGGGGCTGCTGTGGCCTCCACTGGCGTCTGTGTTAACAAAGGTGCCTTTGGCCCAGGCTTTCTGGCGATAGCTGGGCCCAAATCAGAAAGGAGAGAGGGGACCAACAAGGACAGGGCCCCACATGGGCCAGAACACCATTGGCTTTTGGCAGGGGTTGCTCTGTAAGTGAGATGAGCACCTGAAGGAAGAGGAGCACTTTTTGCCCCGTGCCTCCAACTACTGCATTGGGCCTTGCTCATGACACCACCCCAACCTCTCTCCCTGGCCCAGGCGCTCTGGGCAAAAGGTTGGTAAGGCTTACCAGGCTTTCTCTAGCCTCTAGCACTGGGTGCTTCTGGGGTCCTGTGAGTAGACAGGTGGAGGACCTGCCTCTTCTGCCAGCCAGAGGCACCAGGTCTACCTGGGGAGCTCAGGGGAATTATGTTGGAAATTCTAATGAGGGAAAAATGGGTGCTGCTGCCACTTGGGCCCTTTCTTCCCTCAGACCCATCTCTCCGGCCTTGAGCCTGGGCTTTGCCCATGCCCACTACTGCCCCCAGACCATCTTTGAAGCCGACCTTCAGAAATCAATAATATGACTTTTTATTTTGTTTGTTTTTTGTAGTTTATTTTGGAGTCTAGTATTTCGATAATTTAAGAATCAGAAGCACTGACCTTTCTACATTTTATAACATTATTTTGTATATAATGTGTATTTATAATATGGAACAGATGTGTACAGGAGTTTATTACTTTTTGGGTCCTGTCTTTGTGATGGCAGAGTGGAATCTCCTCTCTGTCCCCTAACCTTTCTTATATTGTTGATTCCAAGTGCCTACCCCGGAATCCCAGGGACCAGAGCATGCACTTGGATTTAGCATGTTACACCCTAGACCTTGGCCCCTTGGGGTCCTCGGGGGGCCAAGCCTCACCCATCTGAGTGCCCAGCCTAGGCTAGTCTACCTTGCCTGATGGTTTGGAAGCTTACTGCTGCTCACCCTGCCCTCTTTATGCTCCTACTGTTCCTTGGAGGATAGTCCCTTTGACCTGACTCTACCTCCTCTTTCTCTCCTCAAGTCTGAACAAGCTTATGGAGCTCCCTAGTGCACTGGGAGGATACAGGTGTTTTGGGGAAGGGGACAATCTGTATATTTTCCTCTTACTGATTAGGATGCTCTTGTGGGAGAATGGGGGACTTTGGACCATGATAACAACTGGGTTCTTTCTCCTGCCCTTGCAGGATCTTAGGGGATTGATGCCCTGCTCTTGCCTCAGTTTCCACATGGCATTGACAAAGCCTGGGGTTGTCCTCCTTACAGCTGGGTAAGAGAGCTGAAGGTCTGGGCACCTGTTTTGCTCAGCACTGAAGTTTATTAAAAACTTGAAGGGAAAAGGAGTAGAAGGTGACCTTCCCTGAGTCCAGGTTACTCTGGCTGAGGTACTGCTGAGGGGGTTTCCAATCCCTCCCTCACATTTAGCTTCCTCTAAGAGGTAGGATAGGAGCTCTGGTAGTATAGTGCCTAAGGTACTTGACTGCTAACCAGAAGGCTGGCAGTTTAAACCTACCAGCCACTCCTCGGAAGGAAGATGGGGCAATCTACTTCCGTAGTGATACTGCTTCGGAAACCCAAGGAGGGGTCGCTATGAGTCGGGGCGACTCAACGGCACATAACAACAACAACAAGAGGTAGGATGGTTCCTAGGGTCCCTATAGCTGCAAACATATCCCGTGGAGAGAAAATTCTGAAAAAATGAGCCATTGATAAAAAACTGAGCAGATCCCCCCCACAGCCTGTCCACAGTAAAGCAGTATGGATCCATCTGATGCCTCCTTCCTAATGGAGTCCAAGTATGTGAGTGTTCCTTGCTCTCCCTTTTTCTCTTGTCCCTGACACCTTCACAGCATGCCTGCTTCTGACCCAGGTGCTTATGCCAGAGAACAAGGGTGCAAGTGAGTTATGTTTATCTACACTCACCCGCATGCACACACTCACTCCAGGCCTCCCTAACCGCTCCCTGTTCCCCTCACTGCACACACAGGGTATCAAACAGGAAAGCATTCAGGGAACCGTTCCCACAGCCTGAGCCGGCAGCAGGGGGAAGAACAACACGACCTCACTCTTCCTGCCCAAAATGAAACAGGAAAGCAGCTCCCAGGCCTTGGGGGGTGGGGGAAACTGGGCCCGGACACGAAGGGGAGATGACGAGGCTCCCATGTGGGGGACAGGTAGGACACTCGCGGGGCTGCACGTCCACACCACCAGGCTGTGCAGGGTTGCACCAGCGGCCAGCCCCTCAGAGGAGAGCCCTGGGGGGGACCTGGCTGGCTACCCATTCATCTGCTCTGATGCCTACACAGGGTACTTTCTGGGGAAAGGGGGGACTCATGTATGGATTGATTTGGGCAGCTCTAACCTGTAGCTCATGCCAGGTTCCACTTCTAGCAACACAGCTGGGTGAGGCAGGCACTTGGGGTGTGAACACCCTTTAGTGGAAGCCCTCTTCTTCCTAGGACTTCCTGAAGGTCCCTCTCATAGGTTCTTACCTGTAAGAATCCAGGCCCTTATCCTAGGTAAGGTACCCAAGACTTTTCCTGAGTGGCCAGGTGTGTAGGAGATGTTCCAAGCTTGACAAAAACAAGGCTAGACTGTGAACTACTTTCTTTGATTCCGCAAATGCCCATGTTTAATCTGCATGGGTCTTTCACCAGAGTTTCCCAGTTCCTCAACAGCATGGAGTCGTGATTTGCCTAGAGGGTAAACCTGCCTCTGTTTTGACCTCCAGTTCTGAGGACATCTGCTTTTTGAGGACCCTGTGGCTGGTAACCACCTGATCATTAAGGGGAGATGAGACTTCCAGAGAGTTGTGGAGAAGGGAGAAATGCCTTTACTCTGCGCAGGCAAGGCCCCTCATCTGCCTCAGGGCCACAACCAGATTGTTCAGGGGTAAAGGGGGGAAAAAAAGTATCTTTCACTACCATTTCCCCATCCTAGCTAGATAAGGCCACAAATCTTCAACCTCCAACAGGGACCCGGCGGACTTCTGCGTAGGTTTCCTCCCTGCAGCTCTCCCACTCTATCCTGTGTGGACCCAGTGTCCGCCCCACGTGGCTGCTGCCGGGAAGGGGATGGAAGTGATTCACTCAGGGAACTGTGACTGTCCCTTCCCGGGTAAGGGATGAGCCTGGGAGGTTCCCTCGGGCGGCTGCGCCTGACCTCGCGTCCAGGGCGCGCGGCACGGCCCCGCTGCTCGGCCGGATCCCTGTGAGCCTGAAGTCTCGAGCGGCGGAAGAGGCAGGTGCGATCTGCTTGCTCCGGGTCAGACCTCCACCTGCCGCCGCCGCCGGGCGCCCCGGAGGTCCCGGGCTCCCCGCCCCCGCGCCCATTGTTACAGCCCGACTTCCTGTTTGCGGCCTCCCGACCCCAGCTCACTTCCCGGGCCGGGAAGCTGATGAAGGCCGTGAGTTTCTCGACGACTCCTATCCCGCCCGGCTCCGCCTCCTGCATCCCGAATCCCGCCCCCCGCCTGGGAGCCCGCGCCTGGCCGCGGCCGCGGGAAGACGGCTTCTCGCGCGGGCCCGCGGGCGGGACAACCTGGGCGTCCGCTGCCCACCACTAGACGGCGCTGCGCAGCCATCCAGGGTGCTCACGAATGGAGGGCTCCGTCCTCACCGAGGCTCTAGGCGTCGGGCGCTACAGGATGAACCTGGGGAAAGGGGAGCAGCGTTAGGGAAGCCGGACTTCTGAGTTTAGTGTTGGCCTTTGTCAGGCAGAGCGCCCTCCAGACTTTGGGTCCCTAAGACGGGCCAGTAAACTGGCGAGAGCTCAGAGTGCTTTTCCCCAAATATAGCGGAGGGAAACGGGGCCCTTTGCCCACTATGACCCTTGGAGCAGTCAGAGCTGACCCGCTGAGCGCACTCAGCCAAGTGGGCTCCCTAAGCCAACACCCCTCACCACCCTCGTCCTGCATCCTGAGGAGGGAAGAGAATGGGAGAGGGCTGTAAAGTTCACCAGCTTTGAAGTAGGAGGTTGAAGCTTCCTTCCAGCACCAAGACGTGACCTGGAGTAAGTTCATCCATTTCTCCAGTCATTCAAAACTGAGCATTTTATATGCTAGGCATTGTGAATAAAGCTTGGTCTCTGCCCAGGACCTAACCTTAAATTACCTTTAACCTCTCTGTGGGTGATTGATAATACCTCTTGCACATTACCATGAGGATGAAATAAGTGAAAACGTTTGTGAGCAACGAATTCCCCCGTTGGCTGGTTGATCCTCAAACCAAATCCAGGGAACCACTTTCTGGCTTCCATTCCCCAACCCTTAGCAACAGGAGTGTGGAGGGGCTTGATATTGCTGAATAGTCTCAGCAGTAGCCCTAGGACCTCGTGGGGCAGCCCAGCTCCCAGGTTGTCTCCACTGTTGTTTCCCTTTGTGCCCCTGTCTTTGAGCAACACCACTAATCTGGGTCACCCTCCACTGATGTGGCCAAGAGTCACCTTCCCCTTGGAGATCTGTCACAAATAACCTTCGCTGCCTTCTCCTGACCTTTGGGGCACTGTTCCTTTTAATGCTTGGGTCCGGACCGGGCTCAGCCTTTTTCCCCTTGTGCCCTGTGTAATGGCACTCCCTTCAGGGCAGAGCCAAAGCCCCACCAGAAATGGCCAGTGAATCCTCCTCCCGGCTCAAGTAGTAGGCAAATGCTAGCCCTGGGGTTTGAGGCCCACGCCCTCACCATTTGGCTTGTCTGAGGAGTGCAGTCTCTTTCCTATAGTGGCAGACATCTGGGCTTGGCGCTTCCTGGTGGGTTCCTTTCTGCACCTCCATCAGTGACTCCCTTAGCTCCGTTCTCTGTCTCTGGCAAAAGTGATCTGAAATGTTCTGGGTTCTCCTTCCCATCAGCAGTGGGCTCATGGGGAATAGTGTCCTAGGATCTCTCATTTAAGGGGCTTTATTTCCTTGGCTCTCTGTGGGCCCCCACTATTGAGTTCCATTTGTACAGTCATACTTCATTTCATGGGTTGTTTTCTTTCTTCTTTTTATTTTATTTTATTTTCACTGTGATTTGGGTGAAAGTTTACAGAGCAAATTCATTTTCCATACAGCACTTCATACACATTTTATTTCATGACATTGACTGCCATTCCCTACAATGTAACAGCTCTTTCCCCACTTCCTCTCCATAGTTACCTCTTCCCTGTGTCCTTCCCTCCCCTGCACTTGCTACCACCGCCCCCCCCAGCTGTCTCCCTGTGCAAACACTGACCTTCTGTTCTCCCATGATTGATTGCTCTAAGGAGTATATCTACCTGATGCAAATGTTCACCCCATATGCCTGTCTGTTGTTTGGCTCGAGGTCCTTTTTT